TAATCACAAAGTAATATGTGCTCTATAAAATTCCAATAATATAGGAGCATATTAAGTAATTAAAAGTTCTTACCTCTTTTGTCTAGCTTGATGGTTAATTTTGAGTTGTGTTCTGTGGAGCACAATAAAAGTGAGTAAAGAAGAATAGTTGATGTCAGACAATTCTTGCAGCGCAGGTTATATTAATCATTCCATACCCAAGGCTTAATTAATAGACTAGTGTGTAGTTTTAATAGTATATTAAAGTTTATTTGGCCACTATATTGTAATATCATAATTATGACTTTGTTTTAAATTTGTTATGTGAGCTTACTTTTAGGGCTACTTTAGAGTATGACTTTTATAAAAAGGTAAAATTACATGATTTCTATCAGGCAGGTGAACTTGTTCTAGATGAAAGAGAACAAATTTGGGTTCTGTTGAACTTTTTAAAATAGCAGGCCTTTTCTAAGGTAAACTTACAGTAATAGCTGATATTATGAAATTTGTATTTTAGGGGTACTGTTTGGATAAAAACAACTATATAGTTCGCCACTGTTTTACTTTTGTCTTTTCTTTCTTGATATCTGTTTCCAAACAGTATGTTGAAAGTTGTGTTAATGTCAGTCAGCTTTCTCTTGTAGAATATTCATTGACAGGTGAACTATGTCTGATAATCCAAATTTTATTTCATAAAAGAAGAAAAAAAGTTTAATCCCAAAATTCTCATTTAATCCCAGAAGTTGGCTTCATATGCTTGTGACTGTATTGGGAACGTGCCGATGCTGTCTGCTTACAACCTTGACCTACTACTGTACCTACTTAGGAGTCATTTGTATTATGACAGATTTGCTGAAAGTACTTGCCAAGGGTATTCAGTCATTGAATAAACCCACTGATTAAAATTTTTTCCTCCCTTCAAATCACGTTTTTTTTCTGGTTATAAAAGTAATACAGGTTTACTGCAGACTGTTGTTTTAAAGTATAAAGAAAATATCAAATGTAATCCTACAGTTTAGAAGTGTCCATTTTTCCCCCAAATCTTCTGTGCTTACAAATTTTTTTTGACAAATTTTTTTGGGTTATACTAAACAAAATGTTCTGTAATCTTTTCACATAACAATGTATTTCACATAATAGTCACTTTTGAGATTTCAGAGTTCCTAGTAGTAGTTTAGATTTAGAAACAAGCAGATTCATCACCTACTTCATATTTTATATATTCAGTTTGGTAGCTTCATGAAAAGGAAAACATTTTACCTGAATAGAATTTTGAGCTGAAATGAGTTTTAGTTACTTTTAAAAAATACTGTTTCATGCTCTCACAATAGTGACTTTTTAAAAGGTATAGCAAATGTTAATGCTTGCATTAAAAATGGCATAGGTATCAAGATTATATTCAGATCATAAATAATGAAAGTAGAGAATTACAGTATTGCTGAAGTAGACCATGAATTGACCTGAGAAGAAACTGATAGCAAAAAAAATTTTCCACTTGCTATTATCTTTGACACCCCACTATCCACTTGTTAAAAGCCTGTTAATTTCTCGGAATCTCCCCCTTTCCATCTATCCTTAATCTATTTCAATCTTACATGAACTGTCTTAGCTTTTTCCCAGAATTGTCTCCTCTTTATTTTTCTCTGATGATAAAAATACTTGTGTCTTGAAAACAAAGCTTTTATTTCACGGATTCCAGCATGATTTATGATTGTTGATCTAACTTCAGAAAACACAAAATCTCTCTTTCGTGTTTAAAAAAATATCAGGGCCAGCTTTTCAAAGAGATTCTACCCAGTTCACTAACTTCTTCATAGTTGTGTTTTTCTAAAACCTTTTCATTTTGAAATAAATTTAGATTAACAGAAGAGTTGTAAAAGTAGTACAGAGAATTCTTGTGTACCCTTCACCCAGCCTCCCCTAATATTAACATCGTACATACCATGGTACCTTTATCAAAATTAGGAAATTAACATTGGTACACTATGAACTAAAGACTTTTATTCCAGTTTCTCCAGTTTTTCCCACTAATGTCCTTCTCTGTTCCAGAATTTAATCCAAGATACCATGTATTTAATTGTGTTGTATCATGACAGTTGTTATATCTCTTTCAGTCTGAGCTTCTCAGTCTTATTTTTCATAATCTTGACACTTTTGAAGAATACTTTTAGGTATTTTGTGGAATTTCTCTCAGTTTACATTTGTGTGATGTCTTCTCATGATTAGACTGGGGTTATGGATTTGGGGAGAGATACCATAGAGGTAAAGCACTCTACTCATATCAGAAGGTACAAGACAGCAGCGTGACTTATTGCTGGTTATGTTCACCATCGTCACTTAGTAAAATTGCTGCTTGTCAGGCTTCTCCATTGTAAAGTAACTGTTTTTCCCTTTCCATGCTCTGTTAGAAACCAGTCATTAAGAACCCATACTAAAGGGAAGGGAATTAAGCTCCATCTCCTGGAGAGAGGAGTATTCAGCAAATTTGTGGGCATATGTTAAAACCATTGCAGTAATAAATATTTGAGGGGGCATACTTTGAGGACATAACAAATATCTTAATTCTTCTTAACATTTCACCTACTAATTTTAGCATACATTAATGGATCTTGCCTGTAGAGGTTAATCTACTGGTGATTTTTTTTAACTTCTCTCATTCCTTCTTCATGTATTACTAGGAATCCTCCTGTAAGAAAGATTTGTCCTTTCTTTCCCATTTATTTGTTTAATCATTTATACCTGTGGAATTACAGATGCTTATTTAATTCTTTGGGTTATAATTCAGTACATGGTTATTTACTTTGTGGTTCAAACTGTTGTCTTGACCATTGAGAGAACTTTCAAGTTAGTGTCTGTGTCCTTTTAACATGCCATGTCCCTGTAAATTTTTTTCTCTAGTATTTTGACCAAAATGTTAATCAAGGATGGCTATAGATACTTTTAGCTGTTTCTCTCAATGAAAGAGACCTGATTAAAAATGCAACATTAAAATGTTCTCTGATCTCTTAGCACAGTGCTTTCTAAAAGGCACAGTGCTTTCTAAAAGGCACAATGCTTTATTTTGGATGAATAAGTCAGTTTACCTTCACAGGGATAGACATGTTAAACATAAGAGTAGGAAAAAATAGACTCCAGATTACTTATGGGAAGAAAGTATGAAGTGTCATTGTCATAGTAAAGTAGACATGAAAAAGTTTAGAGGAAGAACCATAATATAACTTGTAATATAATTAGGAAGCATTCATGTTTTTTCCAGCCTTATGGTTATTCTGAAATAGAGAACTTGATCTTTAAGGTAATGAATGATACCACAGGCAACATCTGTGGCCCAATGCTGTCATTTACTATAGCAGGACCCAGTACCACAGATGCAGAGAATGTTTATTGAGTGTTTACTGAATACCTGGCACTGTGCTTTAGGGAAGTTGGTAAATTCAAGGCGTTTGTTTTGTCAAAATTTCTGTTAAAAATTAAATAATTGTAGTATCAATGGTGTGATTATTCTTGCTAACAAATGAAAATTTTTGATGTACTTATTGCTAATGTTCAGTGTTCAGCAGTCTTAAGAATTCATTTGGTTTAATTAAAGAGGAAGCTATCAATAGTACTAAAGTCAGTCAGCAACTATACTAACAAAAGTTGTTTGGAATTAGTTATCAATAACTTATTAAGGGTAAATTTTTATAATCATTATCCCCACTATCCCCTTTCTTTCTTTAAAATCTCAAACTGAAAAGGATTTAGTTACTAAGTTCATCCTATTCAACCCTTCATTCAACCCTTAATGACATGTTTAAAAGCTTACTTCCTATTGTGACCTTTATTTTGCTGCTGGCTAAGGTACTTTGGATTTTTAAAAAAATGTTTTTCCTTTAGATAATTAGAGACAATAAGTGTACTATGGTAACTTGATAAAACCAGAAAGATGTTTTAACACCTGGGTAACAATTGATGAATATTCACAGAGTTAATCACTTTTAAACATCTCCCTTACATGTAAATATGATAATTGTAATCTACATTTGATTTGCAAGTGGTATTTGGGTTTCACTTTAAGTAGGTAGCATTTTTTAAGAATAACTCACAAAGAACAACATTAAAAATCATGAATTATCATCTTAAAAATCTGTAAAATCTGAATCTTTTTGTTGTTGTTTTGAAATTGCTTTAAAAGAACATATGGAACTGTTTATAGAGTTCGGAAAAATCTATGAGGGATTCCTTTGGAGACCATAGGCTGACCGACTGTTGTCTTCAGATCCCTGGAGGAATCCCTGGGGATGGTTTTTGAGTTAGGCTTGGCAGCGGTAACGTGCATAAACAGAGCCCCGAGCCTTCAGTGTTTTCTGAAGAATGCTTTATGCAAACTTTGAATGTTGGTATGGTTGTATGTTTCTATAAACAGTCTTTGGTTTTACTGCATCTCCAGTTTAAAATATTTATAATGCAGGCTTTCAGAAGTTAAACGATCCATTTCCTTCCTCCCTTCCTTCCTTCCTTCCCTCTTCCCTCCCTTCCTCCCTCTTTTAAGGAGGAATTCCAGGTGGATGCTAGGGAAGGATCATAAAAGCCGTTTGCTGGAGGACTGCTGTGAAATGATTTGAGCTTGAAATTTGAAGGAGAGATTTGTTTCATTGGCAACAACAATGGAAAGTTAACTCCGTGTGCTTTAATATTCCAGAAGAGTGGGATTTTTTCTAGCATAAGTCTCTTGGGCTCTCCAAGAATGCTTACCACTTATCTTTCCTGTCATTCTTTCCTCGGAAGTGAAAGTTCACTGATCTTAGAGATCATGGCTGGTGTTGCCTATCTCACATTTACATAATTCTCTCATGTTCAGTGATTCATCAAAAGGGCTCCTACCTTTGGTTGCAGTTTTGACTTCTGTTAAGTCACTCATGGGCTTTTCAGGAGCTGTAGTCTTCCTCAGTGAACTGTTATTCTTGGCTGTATTTCTGTCATTGTAGAACTTACAGTACAATATGCTTTTCATTAATGTGGTTTTCTTTTCCTTTTTGCAGTGATTATTTATTCAAGTTACTTCTGATTGGCGACTCTGGGGTTGGAAAGTCTTGCCTCCTTCTTAGATTTGCGGTAAGTTGAAATTAAAATGCTTTTAAAGAAATTAATGCTATGTATGTTTTCCAGGTAGACAAAACATTAAACAATTTTATTCAGAATATTAATTTTCCAGAACTTATATATTTAAAGCCTCCAAGTGTACATCCCTAGTGATATCTAGACTCTTAAATAGAAGTGCTGTTACTCTTAGAAGAAATTTAAGCAAAATGTGGTTATAAAGTCAGATCTAATACTCTTCCTGGAAGTCATGTTTCATTCCAGCAAAAGTCATGAGTTAAGAGGAAAATAACTGGCCCGTGTTGAAAGTGACTTGATGGAAAACAAGTCTTCAAGTACAACTTTAGTAGAATCAAAAAAACTTTTTTGGACAATGGCATAGGGTTCTGTATGCTGAAATTTACAAACTGATTAATGACTTTCAACCTAATAAATAGAATCTAGAGTCTCCTTCATAGTCTTTACCAGCTGCCTTTAAATTTAGTGTGTTTTCCTTCTTACTGTCTCCATCGTTGGTTCTTAAGAGTATGGGCCAATGGGGATTAGCAAGACCCTCTCAGTGGAGTCCATGAGATCAAAGCTACTTTCCTAATAACACTAAACCGTTAGTATTTACTAAATAGCAGTAACAAAACACGTTTGCCTTTTTTCACTCTGTTGACCTTTCACTCTGATGATACGGTGGGTAAAACTGCTGGTGCCTTATTAGCACCATGTCAAAGTATTGGTAAGTCCTAAACTATACTTATAGTCATGGTATTTACCTCTATTCACTCACCGGGCAGGGAGACACCATTTTCACTGAAGAATGTTTTTGGTGAAACAAAATGATTAAATTTTTTCCTATCTTTTTTTTTAATTGAGTTACAGTTGATATACAATATTATATGTTTCAGTACAACAGTAATTCATAATTTTTAAAGGTTACATTCCTTTTATAGTTACTATAAAATATTGGCTATATTCCCTGTGTTGTATAATATATCCTTGTAGCTTTTAATTTCATATTCTAGTTTGTACCTCTTAATCCCCATCCCTATCTTGCCCCTCCCCTCTTCTGTCTCCCCACTGATAACCGCTAGTTTGTTCTGTATATCTGTGAGTCTGTTTCTTTTTTGTTATATTCACCAATTTATTTTTTTAGATTCCACATATAAATGGTATCATTCAGTATTTTTCTTTGTCTGACTTATTTCACTTAGCATAATACTCTCCAAGTCTGTCCATGTTGTTGCACATGGCAGAATTTCATTTTTTTTTTTAATGGCTGAGTAGGATATGTGTGTGTGTGTATATATCTTCTTTATCCACTCATTTGTTGATGAACACTTAGGTTGCTTTTAAACAGGATTAATTTTGAAAAATCTTGATTCTTGTGTATTTTTTAAATATTTTGTGTGAAGAAATGAGTGCTATGCAAAAAGTGCTTTTACTGTAGACTGAAGTATGTTGGTTGTCTCAGGGGAAAGAAAAGCATTTGTATAGTTGTTTGCATTGTGAGCTAAACTGATTGCTTTTTTTAATTGAAGAACTTTTCTTCTTCTTTTTCTTTAACTTGAAAGAACAACTGACAAACTATAGTTATGTAGAATTGAGTATTGGGTACACATTTTGTCAGATGAGCAGAGACTGTCACTTCAAGGAAAATATCTGACAGTATTTGCTGCCTATAATAAATTCAAGCTTTCAAGGGAAAATTAGAATTTTGGAAAATTTAAATTTACTACTGCAAGCTTGATAGCATCTCAGATACCTAATATGACTTTTCTAATGAGTGATATTAATGAATCTTATTTTTAAATAAATAAATATATAATTTCATTATATATAATAGTTTAAAGTGAAACCATGGAAGTACTAGCAAAGCACTGAGAATTGGGACAGAAGAGATAACAAGTGCAGTGGTTCAGAGGCATGTAAGTGTGAGTCATTTAGGGATTTATAAGAATTCTAACAAAGCATTTAATAAAATATTTCTAATAAAGCACCTGGCATGAAGAAGTGCAAAATTAATGTTTATTGCATTCATTTTGTTCTCTATCTACTTTTCTATAGTACCTGATACTTCTCAATTAAAATATTAAAATTTTTATAAAAGTGAATACCTAATAATGATAAAGAACATTTTGTCAAATACATTCAGTTCTTTAAAAATATCCTTTTACCCAGTGATTCCATGTGTGCAGAAATGTGAATATATGTGAAGGATAAGTCAACATAGCTACCTCTAGGCACTGGGAACTCTTTCTGGTCGCATTTTACAGTTTTCTTTTGGACATCTTTTGTTTCAGTCCCATGTACAGATTCAGCATTATCAAGACTCACCCACGCTGGCTTCATTTAATCCTTTTTTTTCCTTCTCTTTGTTGGAGTGCAGCAAATGTAGATCCCAAATGTGTCGTTTTCCCTTTATATACTTAAGTATGCACTTCTAAAAACTGGACATTTTCATATAAAATACATTTATCAATTTACAAAGTAAATTTCCCTGGTTGTCTAAGAAGTGTGGTGTTAAAGAGTTGGTTTGAAATCATGATTCAGACATGGTTCACGCATCCCACTTGGTTGTTTTCCTGCTCAGTCTCTTAGAGTTTTTCCATCCTCCCTCTTTTTGATTTATGTATTTTTCACGTCATTTACCTTTTGCAGAAACTGGGGCAGTTGTCCTGCAGATTGCCCAACATGTTAGACTTGTCACTTTGTTTTTCTGTGGTGTCTTTAAACTAGTTCCCTTATCCCTCATGTTTCTGTAATTGGAAATAAGGCCCAGAGCTGTGCTATCTTTATGGAAGCTGTTAGTCCCATATGACTAAATATAAAGTTGAATAGAATAAAAAATTATCCACGTGGGGCTAGTGGCTACTGTACTGACTATGACAGTTTATAGAACCTTTCCATCATCTAAAAAGTTCTTTTGACAGTGCTGCTCTTGATAGATAGAGGCTTGATTAGATTTAGGCCCATCTTTATTGGTGGAATACTTCCTAGGTGGTGCTTTATGTGCCTGAAAAGATTCCTCATTGAATTTAGGTGGTAAAAGCCTGATCTCTCCATTCACAAATCTTTTCACAAACATTTTCACTTAAAGAAAAAAACTGAATTTTGTTTCCATTACGAGTAAAATATTGTAACAGACACTTGAGAAAGAAACAGGTATAATTTTAAAGGTTTAACCTTGAGTTAAACATTGTTCACACAAAAAACTTGCACACAAATGCTCATAGCATTAATTATAGTAGACCAAAAGTAGAAACCACTCAAATGTCCATCAGTTGATGAGTGGATAAACAAATTTTGGTATATTCATGCAATATAAGCCATAAAAAGGAATGAAGTGTACTGATTCATGCTGTAACATTGCTGAACCTTGAAAAGTTTATGCTGAGTGAAAGAAGCCCGGCACAAAAGGCCACATTGTATGATTCCATTCATGTGAAATGTCCAGAACAGGCAAATCCATAGAGACATAAAGTAGATTAGTAGTTTCCAGAGTCTAAGGGGGAGAGGAGGAAATGGCGAGTGACTGCTACTAGGTGTAGGGTTTTCTTTTGCGGTGAGGAAAATGTTTTAGAATTAAATAGTGGTGACGGTTTTACAACTTTCTGAACATACTGCAAACCACTGAACTATACATTTTAAAAGGATGAATTGGGGGAAAGTAGCTCACTGGTAGAGTGAATCCTTAGCATGCATGAGGCCCTGGGTCCAATCCCCAGTATCTCCATTAAGAAATAAATATTATATCTCAGTATGTGAATTACATCTCAGTTTTTAAAAGTCATAACTAGGAAATAAAATTGACTTCTAAAAAAGTTCATTAGAAGAGAATGACATGCTCATTGCCATGTGAATAAATTGGATGGGAGGGTGGAGGAGCAAGAGTTTTGCTGATTAGCATGTTAGAAAAATCATTCATAATCATTGAAAATATAAAACCTTTTTCTGTATGATGTATGTAAAGAATTTGCCAATAGATGTTTGGAAAAATTAAAGAATAGCTATTGAAAAAATCTTAAGAAGAAACCACTGTTAAATAGCACTTTGTCTTCAGAACATGAAACTCAGTGCTGTAGCAGGTTGGAGTGGCTGTTCTCAAAATGTTATGCCTTATAAACCTTATCAGCTTTGTAGGTAAAAGTTAACATTATATTTTCTTATTTACATTTGAACATTCATTTTAATTGTTAACTTGTTTTCCCTTCAGGATGATACATACACAGAAAGCTACATCAGCACAATTGGTGTGGATTTCAAGATAAGAACTATAGAATTAGATGGGAAAACAATCAAGCTTCAAATAGTAAGTAATTTTTGGACTAGAAAGTTTTTGGGAAATTATTTTGGTAAATTTAGAGTGTTTTTTTAATATGTGAACAAAATTAAAGTATCTTAATCATGCATCTGTGATAGTGGTAGAATAAGAATTATTTAGACTCAAAATAAAGTGATTTCTCTTAAGATTACCTTTCTTATTGAATTTTCGGTTCATAAAGCAGCGAAATACATGTTTTAAGTCAAACTTGGTCCTAGTTCTTTTTCTTGTGCTTTTTATTAGTGGAGTCTGAGTTGAAGTTTACCTTGTGTTAAAGCGGAAATATATTGCACGTGTTTTGTATGTCTTTTATTGTGCTGAATATTGTGGAACATTAAAAGAAACCTAGGGGAAGTTTCTTCATATGTGGCTTAGTTGAAGAGTATTTATTAGATAGTATGTACCAACACTGTAGAAATGTAGAATTTTATTAGAAAGGAACTTAGCTTTTCTCACATGTTTTACAGCTCAGAAAATGGATGCTAAAGAGATTTAATGACTTGCCTACAGTTATTAGCAGAACCAAGTGATCCATAGCTCTCTGTTTTCAATGTTTTGTGTCCCTGTGCTGTCCTTACCTCCTTATCAATCCTTAGATCCCCAACCCTGAATTAATAACAGGCAATTGTATTAGAAACTTAATATGGGTCTACCACACTACCAATGTGGACATATCTGTGGTCTTGAAAAGAATTAATCTCTGTGTCAATTTCTGGTATACAGCATATAATATTTCAGTCATACATATACATGCATATATATTTGTTTTCATATTCTTTTTCATTATAGGTTACTACAAGATATTGAATATCCTGTGCTATACAGAAGAAATTTGTTTTTTATCTATTTTATATATAGTAATCTCTGGGTATCTTTAAGAGTTGGCTATTAGTATGAGGTAACATAGAAAACAAGTAACTGTTCTTTTCATGGAATTGATGACACACTTGAGAACTGTAAGGAGTTCTGAATTTGGAGTCAGAAAACTTGGATTTATTGACTTCATTTTGGTATTTATTAATTAAAGAGTCACGGGTTTAACTTAACTTCAGCCTTTGCCCTGAGACTCAGTTTCTTATCTGTAAAATAAGTTTGATAATACTTGATTTATTAACTAATAAGGTAGTTGTGAGAACCAGATCTATAACTGTGTATGTGTATATGATTATGTATGTGAAAGCCCTTTGCAAACTTTTGGGCAATATACAAATGTTACTAATGATGTGACATACCTAGGTAAGTGAATATTTGATAGGTTATTATTTTTTTAGCTGCTTCCTTTCTTATATGACTCTCATAAGGAAAAGAAGGGTACATTACAAAAGAATTGTGGATTTTGACACAAGTAAACACACTTGAAACTCCAAATTAAGACTTGCAAACATATCGTTATCAGAGATAGCTTTAAATACTTTCAGTCAGTGAACAGATTATCTTCTATATTGATTTTTCCCATTACATGTAGAGTGCCAGCTTGGCACCATAAAGAATATTTCAGAAGGATGCACCCAAGCCTCTAACTTATTGATGTGAAATGATTATGTTGTGTGTGATCATTGGTCTCCGTAAGATTTGGATACATATTTGTAAAATATCCATATATTGTTACTTTCCTATGACTGGAAGGGATCTTACAGGTCACTCAGTGTCCTTTCATCTTCAGTAGCAGTTTCCTTTCACTATCTGGTGCCTTTTTTTGAACATTTCTGGGAAGCCCACCATTTTTCAAAGCAGCTGGTTCCATTTATAAATAACCTCTAATTGTTAATTCTTTATATTGAGCTTAAGCCAGTTTCCTTTAACTTCTGTCTTGTATTCCTTTGCCTTTTACAGCTGCCAGAATGAGATTAATTCCTTTTCTGCTGGCAGCCTGCCATTTAGATTGATCTTATCACAACCTTCTACCCCTGAAGTCAGTCATTCCTTTCTGAAAGCGTATTTTCAGAACCCTTTACAATTTGGGATACACTTGCATTTTATAAGTGCCTTTTATTAAAATACGATTCTTAAAATCAAATACAGGATATAGTCCAGCCAGTGTGGGCTACATGGGGTAAATTCTCTATTGATTTGGACTCTTTTTTTTTCTCTTGAACGTCAGGGACTCAAGCCATTTTCTCATCATTGACCCATTCAGGGACGTAAAACGAAAGCCTGAGTTTACTACATTTGCTGTCTCAACAACCATATTGCCTACCGATTTGGATCTTAAGTTTTGTTTTGTTTTAATCTTACATTTTGTGACTAGCGTTTTTAAAATCTAAACACAGTATTTAACTTTTTTAACTCTGTTACATTTCGTCTTGCCTGGCTTGAATTATCTTCCCAAGTTTTCTGGGTCTTCCAAAATGATTGGGTTGATCTATATTTTGGTTAGCTTTTTTCTGTTCAAGTTGCCATCTGGGTCTTTATCAGAGTTAGTGATTATGAAACATTAAGCAGTGCAGGGCATGTACAGAGTCCAGTCCCATACAATGGAAGGCCTCTTTCTGTGATTGTTCCTTCATGAAGCTTTATGGAAATGCTTACATCACACCAGGCATTCAGATAGATTCAAGGTTACAGGGATGGATGAAACATAGCCCCATGGGAGGAGATCCCATTTCAGTGGGAGAGACAAACATGGGAAGATCAGTTCCTCTGTGAGTATGAGGGGCAATAAGGATTAGATACCTAAAGGGTGATCAGTTATAGAGGAAGGTACTGTTAGGATGTAGAGTCAGGGGAGTTTTCAGAGTGGCAGGGAGACATCAGAAATTTTACTCTCTGGATGCCATTGCTTAGTTAGCTACAATTCTTTGTTACCATTTATTCAGAAACTGTCTTTTTCTTATACTATCTTTGTGAAAGGAGTTGGTAGGTGGAGAAGAGAGGAGAACTGATATTTTATTGAGCAGCTTCTATAATCAAGCATTGTGCTAGGCATTTTACAAACACGAATTCATTTAAGAAGGTGGTATCTGGGATTTATAGATGCTGTTAGGTGACTCTTCCTACAGTAAATAACCAGGAACCTAGATTGGGTGTTCTGAAGTCACATTGGCTTGCCTCCAGAGCTCGTGCTTTTCCAAAGATATCAAATTCTTCAAGGCTCCTGACTGATACAGTAGATCTAAATAGTCTTCTGACTCTCAGGCTGATACTTTGGGTGAACAAAGTAATGAAGCTGTAGTGGCTTGTTTTTGTCGGTTTTAGATTTACAGTTAACATCTTACCTTATTTGCTTCATTATTTTTCCTCTGGAGTATGTTAAAGTAAATTATAGATAGTATGATATTTTACTCCAAAAATACTAATTATGCATCTCTATTTTACTATGTAACTACCATTATCACATCTAACAAAATTGACACTAATGCCTTAATACTGTCTAGTATCTGGTCTGTATTCGAATTTCCCCAAAATTGCAACTTACTTTTAACAATCAGATGTTGGCTGGGTCTTAGAAAAGGAAGTGATTCCACTGAGTGTTCCTGACCTTTTTTCTTTCTTTTTTTCTTTGCCATTTAAGATGCTAGTGGGGATCAACATCAAGCTCGCAGACATATTCCAAAACTTTATAATTCCTTCCCCCTAAAGGCTGGTGCAGCTTAATCTCCACTTGTCTTATGCTTTAAGTCCATCTTTTGTTTTGTTTTTTTTCAATGGTAACCATTAAGCAACCGCTCTTTATTACCCTATATCCATCAAGATGTTGTCTTTTACCAGTATCTTTTAGTGGGGTAGGTAGCTATTTGGATGATACAAATTTTTTTTAAAAGAAAAGGTCATTGTCTAGGAGCAATTTAAGCAAAATTCTTACTGCCCTTGTTAAAAGCAAGGCTTTTAAAATCTAACAATTGAGTTTTCCTGGTATTTTTAAAAATTAGTTTTTTAAAACCCAGAAGTTTAATGTAACGATGTGTTTTTCAGCATTTGAGCCTAAGTAGTTGAGATGTGGTAAACTGTTCTTAAGATTAATTTTATAGAAGTACTTGGGGTCATCTTCCTTATACTGTTTTCCCTAGAACTAAGATAATTGTTCCTGAGATGGTTAAAGTGCTGTCTTGACTGGTAGTAATCTGACTTAGGTCCTTTCAGTGGTTTCCCTGATGATAAAATGTCTTGCAGGTGATTTTGTCTTATGTGTAAGAGTGTGCTGTGTTTAAAGAGGCATTAGACCAGGAGCTTTTCCTAATACCAAGTCAACCTGTCTTTGCATTCATACTAGCCTTGTACAGTGCTGAAGGCTGTAGGGAATATTAAGAGTATGACATAGCTCCTGATCTCAAAGAGCTTATAATTACAGTACTGGTAGCATTACTACAAGCTAAATTGTAGGTACTACCTTCTTTTCTGGACCTTCAGGTATTTGACATTTACTGTGCAGTTTAGTAGTGTGAGCATGGAGAGCTAATGTTTCCATGTCAAAATCTTGACAACTATGTAAATTAAACTGTTCTCCCTCCTCCTTTCCTTTTCTCCAACTGTATTTTAATGCAATTGTTTGGATTTCTTAATTGTTTTATGATAGTGGGACACAGCAGGCCAAGAAAGATTTCGAACAATCACCTCCAGTTATTACAGAGGAGCCCATGGCATCATAGTTGTGTATGATGTGACAGATCAGGTAAGTTCCAAGAGAAAATTGTGTTATACTCACAAAGTAGGAAGTTACTAATTGATAAATATCAGATTCTTTTACTTTGTGTATAAGCTATCAATATTATTTATATGGCAGAAGACTTCGTCTACCCCTAAATGAGTGAATCACATAAAAACCATGTTTTAAACCAATAATCTTTTAAGAACAGATGCATTGTTATTTTTCTCCCCTACATCATTGAAATACATAATGAATTGGTCAACCAAAATTTTTTATTATTTTCCTTTAGTAAATAGAAATTTTAGTAATTGGTTTTACATTTGCTTTTAAGGGACCAGTTCTGTCTATTATCAGCTAAATAACTGATTGTTTTGGCAAGTTTGTAGGGAACTGGGGTTGCTTGGTTTATACTGTATCCTTGGTGCTAAGTATTAATAGGAATTTGCCTGGTAATTAGACCTGTCAGAATTGCCAAAAGTAAAATTAGGGGTTTCTGCCTGTATAGGATGTAGTTCAGAAATAGGGTGAGCTTATAGAGGAGAGTAAAGATTTGCTGTTGAAAGGAAGGTAGGGGGATGTGGACATAGTGTGAAGAATGTGGTCTAAGGGCCATTTTTTTGATCAGAAAGTTAGAAAATTTCAGGGTCCGGTTTTTTTTCCTGTCAATAAAAGATGAACTTTGAAAGTTAGAATTTTTAATTCTTTTTCCAACAAAAAGCTCACATACTTATTACTGAGCCAAACAAAGCACTAGTGCAGAAACACTGACACAGAGAAAAATCATTTTCCCAATTAAGTATATCCAGCCATTACAGATAATAGTGATATTTTCAGAGTGATATGGAAAGACGCAGGTGACCTTGACACAGCATGAGTATGTGTGGCACCTCATTTGCTGGGCTCCTTATAGACTCAGCTTGATCTTCTCCAGTGTCTTCTCTTGGAGTTGTACCTGATTTTATTATCAGTTTCATTTGAATCCATTGGGGAATGGGATGATTCTGCTTTTGTTTCTTGGCCAGGAGTCACTTGGTCCTGAAAGTCTTTTGAGAAGACATGGTAGGAGCAAATTCAACCACCTAGAATTTATAATTCTTGTAGCAAATGTTAAATCTTACCTCAGCTATGAAATCATAGCAAATTAGGAGATGACTAAAACTATAGACTTCACATTCAGTGCCATTAGAAGTAATGGGTGAGTGATAATCAACATGAGGGAAAAAAATGTTGCTAATTTCAGAAATCTTACTACCATGTAATATTTAAAAGTGAAAATTTTCCTCTTTTAAGTATGACTAGAAAAGAAAACAAGCTGCTTTACCTTGGACTCATTTATTTAATAACTTTGACATCTCTGGTAGCAACATTTAGGCTATCTTATAAACCAAAAGTTTGTCAAGTTTCAAAAACCAGGTTTTGTAGCATTTTAATGCATATATTTAAATTGCATATTCCAAAACAACTGGATTTGCCTGAACTGCAGTTTAATGTTGAGCTGTATTTCCCTCTCAAATAGGCATTTTCATGTCTTCAAATTCTAATTTCTTATTCATATAGGCATGTATCATTATTTTATTATGTTCACGTCTTTCCCAGCACTAGTTATTTTGTAGCTAGAGTTGTCTCATGGTCAGCAGATACTGCTGTTTATTACTTGCTTCATTAGGACCGTTGTGTCCAGAACTGTATTGCCATTCTTTAAGATGTGTATCTTTTTAGGAGTCCTTCAATAATGTTAAACAGTGGCTACAGGAAATAGATCGTTATGCCAGTGAAAACGTCAACAAGTTGTTGGTAGGGAACAAATGTGATCTGACCACAAAGAAAGTAGTAGACTACACAACAGCAAAGGTATGTTTAAAGTTTGATTTTTCAAACTGAATTGGGAGATGCTGAATTTGAGTTTGAATTATGTTTGGGTATGGAGTTTCACAATGGCCACGACCACCTTAGCTTTAAAAATCGTGCAATAGAATCCTCTGAATATTCATGCGGTCTTTTTGGATTCAGTAAACTTAGTCCTTTATCACTTCCTGGTTCAGTTGATGAAATATGCACTAAGTGAAAAAGCTTTTCAGTGTTAATTTAATTGTGCCTTATATTCTTAGGAATTCGCTGATTCCCTTGGAATTCCATTTTTGGAAACCAGTGCTAAGAATGCAACAAATGTAGAACAGTCTTTCATGACGATGGCAGCTGAGATTAAAAAGCGAATGGGTCCTGGAGCAACAGCTGGTGGTGCAGAGAAGTCCAATGTTAAAATTCAGAGCACTCCGGTCAAGCAGTCAGGTGGAGGTTGCTGCTAAAATTTGCCTCCGTCCTTTTCTCACAGCAATGAATTTGCAATCTGAACCCAAGTGAAAAAACAAAATTGCCTGAATTGTACTGTATGTAGCTGCACTACAACAGATTCTTACCGTCTCCACAAAGGTCAGAGATTGTAAATGGTCAATACTGACTTTTTTTTTATTCCCTTGACTCAAGACAGCTAACTTCATTTTCAGAACTGTTTTAAACCTTTGTGTGCTGGTTTATAAAATAATGTGTGTAATCCTTGTTGCTTTCCTGATACCAGACTGTTTCCCGTGGTTGGTTAGAATATATTTTGTTTTGATGTTTATATTGGCATGTTTAGATGTCAGGTTTAGTCTTCTGAAGATGAAGTTCAGCCATTTTGTATCAAACAGCACAACCAGTGTCTGTCACTTTCCATGCATAAAGTTAGTGAGATGTTCTATGTAAGATCTGATTTGCTAGTTCTTCCTTGTAGAGTTATAAACGGAAAGATTACACTATCTGATTAATAGTTTCTTCATACTCTGCATATAATTTGTGGCTGCAGAATATTGTAATTTGTTGCACACTATGTAACAAAACAACCGAAGATATGTTTAATAAATATTGTACTTATTGGAAGTAATATCAAACTGTATGGTGATAAGTATTGTTTTAATTCTTATGGCTAAAGGGAAATAGAGCCTTGCATTATACTCAAAACAGCCATTTGTGTGTGCAACCAGGGCACTGTAGACCTATCTTAGAGCAGCATCCAATATGCTTTCCAGATAATATACCCAATAAATGACCTAGGGAGGCTTCTGTGCTGTATAGGGATTTAACCAAGCTTAGTGGTTCAGGGAGATTACATAAATTGTATGAAAATAAGTTTAGAATGTATGCAGTCTAGCTTATTATCTCTGATCCTTCGCTAAAACCATTGGAAATGGCTTCGTTGATCAACATTTTGCTAATTCTTCTGTGACAGAGGTGGAAAGCGGCACACCTTTCTTAACTGGCAGATGATTAGACTGACAGGTGTGCTAGTACTGTTTCTTCCATGCCTGGAGTCAGACGTCAGCCATCCTCCACAACTATGTAACTTAGGTTGGAGGAGAGTTAAGGCATTGAAGTAGCAGAAAATGAACTATTTGCCCTAATTTTAGAAATTATATCCCTTTAAATTAGCTGAAAACACAAATGCTGGGTGGGAATGATAAATGAGAGAAATATATTTATTTCAGTGGAATTTTGCACATGTGAAATTTTGTTAACTAGGACCTTAACGATCCTAGGGTTGGTTTTTATTGTGGGGAACAAAAATCTTTTGCTAGCACTGGCATTTTAAGGTAATAGAAGTCAAAGATTGTTTCCTTGGGGTTGAAGTAGCAGCCAAAACATTCTTTACTTAGGGGCTTGGGATGTGGCTGTTGGCAACACATTTTATGGTGGGGGTCTTTAATTCAGTGATAAAATTTAAACTAAAAACAAGCCAAAAATTATAGGTTTCTTTATTTTCACTAAACAGGCAATTGAAATACATGGTACAAAAATAAGTGGTTAAGATTATTGTAAAATGAAATGGACAGAATAAATATTCAATTTAATTTTCCATCTATGAGAATTTCACAATAAAATCACAGTTTACTTTGTATTATAGATGTGCTTGTTGGATCTATTCATCCTCACATAAGGCAACTGAAAAATTTCTCAAGTTACCAGTAATTTGGGTGAAATTTTTTATTAATGTTTCAAAAGGTTTGGGTTTTGGGGTTTTTTTTTTTTTTTTTGCCTTATCAATATAGTATAAAGGGGAAAAGAATTCAGAAACTAATTTTTAAAGTAGATGAGTGATACAAATGTTAGTGTGATACACTTTGGTTTTTTAATACAGCAAGTTGTTCAAACTGTCAGCTTATTCTTGTGAGTTAGCAAAAAACATTACATGAATTTAAGATGTAGGCATATTTACATACTTACTGAGTTTTGAAAATTCCAGTGTTCTTTCCCCCATGGCAGTTGAGACTGGGGCTTACTGCAAGATGTCTTGCCATGCTTCGCTATCTGCTTTTATGAATTTACCCATAAATGCAGTTTTGAAAAAAAAAATGTATTCCCATTCCTATCCCCATTTTCAAGTACAAACACTTCAAGCTACTATGGGCTTTAATAGTCTGTTCACTCAATAAATGGAATTAATGCTTTGCTGTATTTTAAATGTAAGTGGCTACCATGAATTACCTTACAGATGTGAAGAGTTTTCTAAATCTAAGCAGTCACAGTCTCTGTGAAATCCTTGCAGAATGATAGCTGTTCTGGTCTGAGTAGTAACTATTTGTTCTTTGACCTTGGACCAAACCTCCTTTAGCATATATGTTACCATTGCATTATATTTTATATCAGCCCTTCTTTATGATCCCATTTAAGCTTTAAAACAGTCCTGTATTGACACTCCTATTTGCAGATCATCTTAGCCAGGGAGCTGTGACAAGAACCCAGGTTTTCAAACTGCCAGCCCAGGTTCTAGTACTGCCAGATTCCAGTGGACTTAAGTTCTACTAATTTAAAGGGAACTACTAAGAAAATTTACTGCAGGTAAACTTGGAATTTCATAACCACGTTAATGTCACTGTAAGCCACTGCTGTTAAGGCTAACGTGTACCACAGCACACTGGCCAGCCAGGCTGTTTGAATCTAGCCTGGCCACGTTTGCTCGTGGAATGCTGCTGGCAGCATCTTCCGAGGCGGAAACCGTTTCAGCTTGAGTTTTTTAAGGGAGGTCTTAAACTTCTTACAGCGCTGCCGAAGATGACATTAAGTTGTACTGATACTCTTAAGCGGCATTCACAGCTAGGTCCAGAGTAGGCACCCTTCAGTCACACCTTATTTCAAAGGAAGTGAACAAAAATATCTTAGGTCATCTCTAGGTAAAGTAGTACTTTCTTGGGAAACAGGGTACTCTGAAGTAAAATACTCTGTGAAAATTCTTGTCAGTTGAAGCTGATTATAATTATTAGGTTGAATGGCAGAATGGCATGTTCAGCTATTCATTATTATAAAGGGTTGTCATCTTCAGTTTTTGCTAAGTAAGAGACTTATTTTCTTGTCTATCAAATGTTAGTAAATACTCCCAAGGGCTATCCTGTAACATACACAGTGGAAAGACATGTGCCAACTGATAGCTCTAAGAGAAGGTGAAATACATCAATTTAAGAACAGAGGCCATTAGACATGTCTTTTTAACCAGTTCTAGGCTTTTAGGAGGATTTTACATATACAATGATTTGCTAAGGTGTTCTTTCTAAATCTCATTATGTACGGAACCAAGATTACAGTGGAGCTGGCAGAATCCTAATACGCAGCTTAGTTCTGATCATGCCCTTAAGCATTATGGTAAGTCATCCCAGAGTAGCAGAGGCACCTGAAACACTGCACTTTATACAGCTACTGTTGAATTTTATATTTTTTCCTTAATTGTTAAGTATTAGAATTTAACAGCTTATTTTCCAGTATAAAGTCTGAGAAATTTTAAAGTGGGGAAGTCACATTTAATGATAGGGTTTTACTGCATATGGAGGTGGATGAGATGATAAGATTATGTGGTTCAGCCCCCAAAACTAAAGCCCTAAAAGTCCTTTTGTTTTGGTTGGGGGGGGGTTCAGGTTTATTTATTTCTAGAAGTGGTTCTGGGGACTGAACCCAGGACCTTGTGCATGCTAAGCATGCACTCTACCACTTCTTCCTCTAAACTTCTTTTAACAAGGGTAATTTTGTATTAAATATTTTGTCCGGAGAGACAGTCTGCTTTATGAAAATAATTGTTCTAATGTCACTTGCTCTGGGTTCAGATGACTTGTTCATTTCTTTATAAACTTAAAAGATCTTCCTTTCTTAAGCGCACTCCTTGAATGTGAATCTGGAGTTTGAAAAAAGATAAATTTAAGTGTGAAGAACCCCTTCCTTAAGGCTTAGTCCACTGTAGTGCTAAAAATACACGGGGGAAAAAGTGCTTCCTCCTTCCATATTCATTCATGGCCCAACAGAACTTTTTTTTAAGTGCCTTTTTTTTTCTTAGTTTTATGCAAAATCTGTGGTTCCTAGCAATAGCTGATCATTTTTCTTTAAAAAGCCATAGAATTGGCTTTAAGTGGTTGATCAGATTTTTTTCTCTGAGGTACTTACATGTCAACTCCCAAAGCAACAAAGAATTCCCTTTTTTCCTTCACTTTTGACAGCCTTAGTTTCTATAGTTAGCCAGACTGTGTGATTCTGTCCACGGCCTTCCCTGACCTGACCACTCCTCCAAGGGAGAGCAGGAATGGAGGCTGCCTCCTCCTAGGGGTACCCTTAAGGTAGATCAGTCAGTCCAGAGCCCTGGGGAAGCTCAGCAGCAGTTCCCTAAGTCCCTGACACATTTTTCTTTGAGATACTAGCTAGGCAGGCAGATGGAGCCCTAGGCCCTTAAGATGATAAAAGGTATGCTGACAGCCCAAAATAATTTGTAGAGAGATCTGTTCAGAAACTTCTATTAATTTGGAGAGTTAAAGTCTCTTCTGTAACCTTCAAAGAGGGATTTATAATAAAGCCTAAGCTTCATTTTGTGAAGTTCCAAGTTCCTGGTCAACCATTCACTTTTTTCAGTCTCTTGGATCCTCCTGTGTGCCTGCGGATACCAGGCATTTGGTACCTTCTTTCTCATGCCAGCCTTCTTTAAATGATCTCAGCAGGTGGACTAGTTACAGAAGCTGTCTCCTCTTTTTAACTGGATGGAGAAGGAAAGACCTTTAAGCCTCACTGGCATTATTTATCAAAAATGCAAAGCTATGTGCTCTATGTAGAGAAGCACCAAAAGGAAAACCTTAGTTTGGAAGGATTCATTTTAAATAAAAATAGTAACTCAATAGCCCTTACTTCAGGGAAGAGAAAGGCATTTTAAAGCTAGTACATTAGAGTTAGGTTTCCCCCTTGATTTCATTGTTAAATGGCTCTCACAAGGACTTCCTGCAAGTTTCCTACTAGCCAGGTTTTGGCTGACCGATTACATCTCTGCCTGAGAAGACGCCTGAAAGAGAAAGAGAAGCTTGTTACAGGCGGAATGCTGCAGAGGAAGAAATGACACAGTAGTCACCTGCATTCACTTTAGCACCGAAATGACTACTGCTCAAATTTATTTGATACAAATACAGGGACTTGCTGCTCCTGACATACCAGGAATTTACATCCTTTACCCTCTCTTGTCTACAGTGAACTCTCACCTGAAAAACCTGAGTTGAACAGCACATTTTGGTTGTAGGAGAGAAAGTTTCAGAGAAAGTATGCTCCTGTTGTGGAATCACGTTGGGCAGTGGTAACTCCATTGACACCAACCCCTCTGCTCTTAGCACCCCCTTTCCTGTCATTCCTGTTTGACCTTTCAGAGATGAAAAGGAAACTGTACTGTTGCATCTCCAAGGTATGGTACTCCCATCTACTCCCCTAGCCCTTTATGGAAGGGACTATGGAAAACTTGCAGAGAGCCTTTTTGGGAAAAGGAGGTATGGGGAGTTATCAGTAACTCTGGATCCCTGTGGGCACGTGCTGCTGTCCAGAGCTGCTCGGAGATGGAGTACAGAGCTGCTCGGAGATGGAGTACCAAATGAGGTGGGGGAGAGGACTGCAGAGCAGAGGCAGCCTGTTAATGGCTCTGTACTGGAGGAGCGTACGTGTGCAGGCATTAAAAAGCAGGTATTGATAAATTTGGGGGTGGGTGACAGATCTGCCAAAAAAAACAGTGGAAGCACAGAGGTGAAACTGAGTAATGGAGACCACCACAGTAAGCGTTCCTCACCACAGGAGTTCCCCCTCCCCCACCCCGTTCCTGGCATTGGAGCATCTCCCTTTTTCAGGACCAGGGGCTCTCCCAGCATCTCACTTATTTCAGTAGCTCTTAGCTCAGTAAGCTTCTAACAGTCAGTTTTCAGAGCAGGGGCTCGGTACCGTAGCCTGGCACTGGGGTCCAGGAACAGACTCTTCTCTTGGGTTGCTCCACTTACCAGGCTAATGCCCTTCACACTGGCGCTACTGTGAGCCACTGGCGTGTTGTCAGGGAGGAGGGTGCAGCCAGCCAGCATGTCCAGAGAGGATAAGATGGTGTCGTACAGGTGATCTGCGTGGCTCTCCAGCTCACTGGGCTGCTTGGAGATTCTCCTGAGGACATCCTTTAACACTAACAAATGAGGTTTAAGGCAATTAGGCCAAAGAAACAATGCATTTTCAAAAGCACACACAAGGGTGTAGCACTTTATACAAGACAGGAACACAAGTTTCAGTGTCCACTTTTTTTGACAGTCTCCAGGGACCATACTGCGCTGGAGGATCTTAAGTTGTTAACTTCTGGCTAAAGCTGAGACAAGACTTTTACTGGCTCCACTCCAAAATTACATAATTCACAAAAAGGCAGAGATATGGTTGTCTGGTGACTGGGATCATCTGACTTTTAGAGATAAAACAGGGCGCACACCCAGATCCCACGGGGCACAAATAAAAACAGTATGCCAAGGTCAGGACTCTGGATCCTGCTACCAGGTCCTGTGCGCTTCTGCTGGCTATGGGACTATCATTTAACATGTGTATAGGTGACCTGGTAACATGGGAATGCTTGTGAACCCTTTTTTGTGGGTCCTAAATGAACAGACTTCAAAAGAAAGTTACCTGAAAGCAAGCTAAGACAAGGGTTAGTGAGGCCAAGGTTCCATTCATCTGAGGCCAAGTGTCCATCTGAGGAAGGGACGGGCTAGATTCAGAGTGCATCACACACAGCAGGCTTGTTTTTTTCTCTTAAAAACTTTATTTCCTTTGTTAAACACAAAGGCTGCTTTCGCTTCCTGCGCCTTTATCAGCTGTGTTCACACTCTCCCTAGTTTCCTGCCACAGCTGCAACATCTGCTGGCAGCGGAAGGGAGAGGGGAAGCTGCGTTATCTGCGGAGGATGCTGACAGAGGGGCAGCAGAAGGCACGGGCTGGCTGTGTGGAGGTCAGCCCTAGGGAAGCCACACCTGTGCAGCAGCAGCAGGGCACAGTGCTGTCCCGACAACTCCCAAGAGGCGGCAAGGCAGGCTGGGGAGTGCGGCCAGGCTGCATGGTTCTGCTCGCCAGAAAAGGAGAATGGCTGGGTTCTCCCCGACATGTTCACCAGACCTTTGCTCAGTCTTCCTGTGCGTGGTCAGTGGAATTCAGGGGACCTTATCTTCTGAACTTTCATTTTAGAATGTTAGAATGGTTGGTTGGGGCCAAATAAAAGGCAAGTCGGGAACAGGGATGAGATTATCTTTCCCAGTAAGACTTTGATGTTTTTAATTGAAAAATGTATACAGGGGGCTGGTTCAATTCACATCAGTAGGGTCCAGTCATTTGATCCAGTATAATGAGAATTTGGGGTGTCGGACAGGACTGTCAACTCATGCACCAAAGTAACTGGGTCAAAATGTAGCGAAAACCTGCCATGTGGCCACAGGGACACCTCTGGCTGGAGGCGGAGATGGGGGCATCCATCATGAAGGGATTAACATGGCTTCCTGCCCCTCAGGTTATACTTGTGGCCGAGGAGGAAAGCAGGCTCTGAAGAAGCTGGAAGGGAGTCCATCTGCTCAGGCTCTACTGACTCTGAGAGACTCTCTAGAGAGAATGGTTGTGCACCTAATTGGAGAGACCCTGTGAATGTCAAGGGGAACTCGTGATTTTCACAAAACTGCCAAGTTCCTGACTGTCCTAAGCAGAGGATCAGGAGGGGCAGGGTGTCAATCTCAGCGAGCCTGGATACAGATCTGAAAACCACAGAAAACCCAAAAACCTCTTACCTGGGCAGTAAAATACCTCTAGACTCCTTTGGAGAGAAGGGCAAAATAAGGATAAATTATTACAGATTAAGTCCTGAGAAATATTACTGAATTGATTTTTAAATGAAGGTCAAAAAAGCTGTACTTTTAAAAGGCCCACTGCTACATGTGGCCTCCAGGAAGCTTCCTTCCTACTCAGGCTCCTGCTCCCCCCAGGAGCCCGGGAGCCCACACACAGGGGCTGGAGTCTGGCGGCCACTCCTTGTGTGGCCCAAGGAAAACTCACAGCTCTGTGAGGTGAGGGAGTAACAGCATCCACCTCACAGGGCTTCGATTAAATGGAAAAAAAAAGTGGTATGTCAACTCCTTCAGCACAGTGCCTGACACACAGTATTCAGTAAAATGCTGGTGTAGTTACAAGTGGCAAAGGAACTCAGCATTCTGAATTTCTGTCCCAGTAAAACCCAAAAAACCCTAGTGCAAGAGAACATCAGAAGAGCCAACGCAAGGCCTCCTGCAGAGAATGCAAAGAGCTCACATAGTTCACACTGGATAATTCATGCCCTGCTGAAATCCCTTCAGTGGCTCCTCGTCCCATCAGAACCCCTCTGTCTGTTCAGTTCTCAATCCTGGTGTTTTTTCCCTCCCACGGGATGCTGGCAATGTCCGGAGATACTCAGGGCTGTCACAACTGGGGAGGTGCTACTGGCCTCTAGTGGGTAGAGGCCAGGGCTGTTGCTAAATGTCCTGCAATAACAGAACCACCTCCCTCACAACAAAGCATTGTAGGGCCCAAAATGAGAGTGCTCAGGGGGACTCCATACCACCTCCCTACCGTGCACCCGCCCACTGCTGTTCAGGAAAGCGCCACCTCACTGCCTCTCTAAGACAGCCAGTGGGTCCTGACCAGTTTTGCTTATATTGTTTGCTTCCAGCGTAAACCTCACTTCATCCCAAAACCCAGGCATAAAATAGGTGAGCTCTTTCCGCGCTTGGTTGTTCCGTCTTACAGGAAATAAGGGGCTGCTTTGGGGGGTCCATCAGTTCACTGCTTTAACCTAGCACTCTCCTAGCTCATTCTCCATATCATATCTGCCCCCAGCAAGGACAAGGCCAATGGGAAAGCCCTGCACCCTGTATGCTGAGATGTACTCCCCAAGACCATGATCTCCACACTTCTCTAAGCTGGGAACCCATCCTGTAACAAGGGCTCGAGCTTAGTTTGTGCACCATCTTCCACCTGTCCCCTCCCATCAGTTGACTTCTTCCTTCAGTCTGTTCCCGGAGAATAGACCAACCACTTTTGGATCCTGGAACAAATTCCTCCCCAAAGCAGATAACCAGAGAGGGGTTTAACCTGCACTGGGAGAGAAGACCCCTGGGGCTCCCCACTGTGAACACCCTACGTGAAAACCAAGCCAGCATTCCCACCCTAGACACCACCAGGGAAAGACAAAAGCAGTGTCAGTCCTACAGGCGCAACGCCTGACTTCTCCCTGCACCTGCAGGCCTGCAACTGCCTCATTGTGGTTGCGGGGCTGTGATGTGAGGGGCTGCGGACAGTCGCAGGCATCCTAAGGCAGTGGGTGCGGATGGGAGGGGGTCTTCCACCACTGGCTCCTTCCCAGGGACAGTATGGGTCTCCGGACTCACCCTGAGAGGGATTAAACTGGCTAAATTCACCCCCACAAAAGAATTAAAAACAAAAAACAAAAAACCCCAAGCATCTCACCTGGAGTATTATCCAACAGGCACTGAAGAAGAATCTCCCCTTTCTGTAAGACACTCTCCGTCAGAGACTGGTGTTCATCTATTTCTTTCTTAAATTGCTTAAAGCATATCAGGAAAAAAGAAAAGAAACTTCATCACTATCATTTTGTCAAAGTTAATGGAAATGATCCCTTGCATGGTAAATGGATTTCCCTTTAACCGTCCAGTCCTGAAAATTCCCCAAGTAAACAGTACAATAGTTTAACTTCACCTTCTTTGAGCCCAAGGCCAACAGAGTCAATCCTCTTTTCTGCTTACAGTTGGACAAAAGGAGCATTTTCTCTTCTCTGGCAGAGCCTGGCTCATGAACAGCCTGGAGTCAGGGTTTCCTGCTCATGCTACAGCTCACAGGGCTCTCTGTAAACTCACAGGGCTATGAGAGTCTCACACTCACAGTCGTCTATACCAACAGGCCTAGTAAGTAAGAGCCACAAGAGAGGTGCCGTTAATCTGACCACAGGGAACTGCTGCCTCCACCCCACTCCCCCTCAGGGTCCTGCTGCCTGTGGACCTTAGGCCTCGGGAAGGCATCAGGGAAGCTGAGTCCCCTAAGCAGCTGACCTCTTTCTTCCTCTCAGTAGCCAGCCTTGTAGCTGTTTCTGATGTTCCTTTACCTGCTAAGATGTAAAGTCAAATCCATTACCACCTTTAATACAGGGTGCAGGAACTGGTGGTTCACATTTTGAAGCTGTAATTTTACTTTTGGATTTACTATACTCCTGTCTTCACTATTCCTGGACCCTAATACGTGCACTTGTTGTTTTTCTTTTTTTTGGGGGGAGAGGTACTGTTTACTTATTTATTTATTTTTAGAGGAGGTACTGGGGATTGAACCCAGGACCTTGTGTATGCTAAGCATGTGCTCTACCACTCAGCTATACCTCTCTCCTGCACTTTTTATTTTATTCCTCAGTCCTGTCTGTAGTTTATATAATGCCACAAACCCACTGTGTTATTAAGACAATGTATATGAGACAGAATCACAGTGAAGACATGTGAGCACAAATGCACATGCCTCTATTAGGTATTTAAGTGGAGGTCAAGGTAGCTCATACATACGCATGAGCCATGTGCCATTTTGTGTGGGGAGGGGCTGACAGTGTGGTCCCACTTTGGGACACAGTTGTATGGGTGACAAGTGGGTTAGGCTTCAATGACCTGCAGGGATAACTCCCAGCTCAGATCTCAGCTCTACCCACAAAGCAAGACAGTTGCCTCTGGCTAGCCTGTAAGGGGAGGCTCAGGTCACGGAATGAGGGATAAAAGGGGGGGAATGGAGCTGTTCTACTTGACATCTGCTCTGATGGGAACAAGGCTGAGGCGCTCTGGAAAGGCCACCCACGTAGGTCAGACTAGGGCAATTTCCAGGCAATTTCCTCTCCCTGTGGTGGTGCTGCCCCTGGGCCCTCTGGGAGCAGTCCCCACAGGCTGCACACGCTCTCGGGAGCTGCGCACCGGGGACCATCACACTCAGCCTTCCTCTCCTTTCTCAGTGTACTCTGGGCAAGAAACTCATGGCCACCTCTCTTCACACAGCAGCAAAAAGCTTCCCACTAGGGTAGGGCAGCTGGCCCACCAGGCCAGGCCCCTCCCCTAAATTTTAGTTGGCTCCAAGTTAGAAAATAAATGCTCTTCCTCCTGCCTGGGTGTGGTGGGAGCTCTGAGCTGGGTGGTGCCGCCCTGGCTCAGGCACTCATAAATCACAGCCTCTTCTGCTCAGTGAACCGTCCCAGCAAACCCTTTCCAGACTAGCATCAAGTTCAGACCACAAACACCACCTCGGCTCCTTCAGACGAGGTTAGAGAGGCCTGGCCAAACGTACATGCTAGAAGCCAGCGGGTAGTTCAGTCAAAGTTAATGTTTATACTTAGGGTAACTGATACCTTATCATCCAATCCACAATACTTCTGAGAATGAAGGGGGGACCTACTGATAATTATGCCAGAACAGCACAAACTGTCATCTAGAAACACTTGACCTAAAGTCCAGTTAACTAGAACCCAGAGATTTTTAACATAACAAAATCTAGAAAGAGATAGCTCCCAACCCCCCAAAATACCCTGCAAAGCAAACTGAGTCATATTTTTGTTTAAATACCATTAAAATGCTTTGTGTATATTCTAGACTCAGTACAATTTCAGCTCAAATCCTTAAATAGCAGTCAGTGCTGTCCAACAGCACTTTCTGTGATGAAGGGCACGTTCTACCTGCTCTGTTCAACATGGCAGCCACAAGACAAATGTGATGACTAAATACTTAGAATTTGCTAGAAAAACTGAAAAATCTGATTTTTAATTTTACTTTATTTAAATAGCTACATGTGACTCGTGACTTCCTAACAGTGCAGATCTACGCTTACCGATACCTGAGACATTTGAAAAATTTCACTGTGAGTCACCCTTAAGCAGTTTTGATTGAGGATAAATAAAATGTACTTCAAACTCTACATGGCCTGGGAAATAACTCATACATTTTAGTTTTTCAGCATGAAGAATTTGAAAAGAACCTCGAATTCGATTTCAGGTAAAAGTCAACTGAGCCACAACATACCGAGCATCAGTTATTTGAACTTTTACTTTCTAATCAAGTAATTTAGCCACTGCTCTCATGAGTGAATGGCCAGAGGCCAGGACCACGTATTACCCGGTAAAGCTGCAGAGAAGACTTGAGGCTTATGAGACTGGACTTGGGTGGAGTCAGGTGGTCGGTAACGTCTGCTACGTTGTACAGCCAGCGGATCAGCTCTTCCAGCTGACAGCAAAACGTCTGTGTAGACAAACAGAACACGTGGTGTTATCCATGGAACCGCTGTTCACATTTTCAGAGGCTAAAAATACCTGGGGATCCCAGGATACAGTCTCATCGCCTTTCCAGAGCCTCCCCTCATTGAGGTGCTGGTCTCCTCTCTGCCCCACTGCCATGACTCCAGACCTCCGCCAGGACATATAAAGAACCCCACCTTGCTTCTGTCCCCTACTCAGGCTGGGAAAGGCCAGCCCTGTGGGTGAGGATGGAGGAGCTCAGGAGAGGGCAGGGACAGGGACAGCCCAGAAGAGGCCTGCTTGACAGAAACCAGTTCTTGGGTCAGCACTACTGCCAACTCTCGAAACACTCCTGGGGAAAACATGAACACACAATACATGACCACAAATCATGACAGATGTGATTCTATGCCTAGAAACGACTGAATTAAAACTGCTTATCCCTGTTCTGCCCCCATCCTGCCCAGGAAGCCAGGCCCCTAGCCTCCCTCCAGCCCCTCACTTGGGGGCAGCTGTGAGCCAAGCACTTTACCTCACGGTCTAGCCATCTTTCATCCCAAAGCAGAGCACATGCTAACACTGGTCCTACCTACATCACAGGACAGAGAGTCACTCATGGGATATCACAGGGCAAGTTAAACCACCCCTCAGGCTGGCTGCCCTGCATCCGTGTGGACATGGTGTCTGGGTGCTCGCCCGGGAAGCAGACTGTGGGCTCTCCGAGTGTGTGGACAGCCACCTTCCTGAAGATCCTTGTGTCAGGGACTGCGCGAGGCCCTCGACATGAATTATTCAATTAATCCACACAACATTCCAAAGAGACAAAGCTCCACATTCTACAAACAAGCAGACTCAAGAGACAGAGCCGAATACATCTGGAAAAAGATGAAACCTCTAATTGGAAATGCACCCCGGTGTTCACAGCAGCACTATTTACAATAGCAAAGACATGGAAGCAGCCTAAATGCCCATTAACAGATGACTGGATAAAAAAGATTGTGGTATAGACATACAATGGAATATTACTCAGCCATAAAAAGGAAACACCATTTGCAGCAACATGGATGGACCTCAAAATTATCATACTAAGTAAAGTAAGTCAGACAGAGAAAGACAAACATCTTAAGATATCACTTATATGTGGAATCTGAACAATAAATGAACTTATTTACAAAACAGAAATAGACTCGTAGAAACAGAAAACAAACTGTGGTTACCAAACAGGAAAAGAGGGGAAGGGAGAACTCAGGAGTTTGGGATTAAGACTCACACCACTATATATAAAATAGATAAACAAGGATCCACTGTATAGCACAGAGAACTATATTCAGTATCTTGTAATAACCTAAAATGGAAGAGAATCTGAAAAAAAATGTTTGTACATCTATGTGTGTGTAACTAAATCACTTTGCTGTACACCTGAAACTAAACAACACTGTAAATCAACTATACTTCAATTTAAGGAAAAAAAAAAAAAAAGAGAGACTGAACCCAAATTCTCTTCCAGGGAGTACTAGCTGTATCTCCAGTCTTCGATGGTCCACAAGGTTCAGTGGCCGTAACTCTGCAATTATACCACTTCCTCAAACTGGAACTCTGAGAAGTCCTGCAGCCAAGAAAACACTTGTGTAGAGCCCTTATTCCCCAGAGGCATCTGAGCACAGGTCCTTCTTATACCTCTTAATCCCCAAGGTCAAGGGCCGTGGGGAGCAGCCTGGGGTAGTGGCTGGCAGCTCAGGGTCTGGGCCTTGCTAACCGTGAAGGGGCAGGTTATACCTAACCTCTTGCTGCCTTTTCCCCCAACTGTGAAATGAGAACAGCAGTAGAGCTGTGAGGATTAAATAAGATGAGGTGCAGCATGATGCCTGGTGCACACGTGCTCACTGTTAACAGGTTCCCCAGAGGTGAGTGGCCTGCGGGAAGAAGAGACCAGACAACTGGACGTAAAGCCTCTGAATGCTGACTTTACCTTCACACACTGCACGAGTGACTCTTTCCCTTGCTCTCCTCCTGTCCTGGGAGGCTGCCCTTCAGCATCTGGATCCAAGAATGCCCGCCGGTCCCACACAGACGGCAAGGAGGCGCGTGTTCTCAGTGGTCCAGAGGAGACCCCCGGGGCCTGGTTGCTCACCAGACTGCCCTCCCCTGCAGAGCCCCTCGCACGGAGGAAGGAGCGCAGCAAACTATGGTTCTGGCCCCCAGGGCTCCCGGACCCTCTGAGAGCAGCCCCAGAGGGAAGCTGGCTTTGGCTGGAGTCCGATGGGAGGGAAGCTGGCCCATCACTGTCTGACACATCCAGAGAGCTCTGTCCTTCAGCAGTGCCAGTGAGCAGGGGCACCAAGGTGGGAATTGAAGTCAGATACGAAAACAAGCTAGAAACTTGTGTCAGCCGAGGGGGCAGGGCCAGGTACTCGTCGTCACTTTCCACCTCCTCTTCTGACCTCCATCTGGACTCCGTGCAGGCCAGGCGCCGGAAGCCCTGGCTGGCCCCTTTCTCTCCTTCCAGCCTGGGTGAAGGCCACTCTCTGCCCCTTGTCCTTAGGTGGGGAGAGCCCAGCTCAAGGTGCTTGTCCACGGGTGGCCAGTCCTTCACACCATTCAAGGTAGGCTCTCTCCTCTCCCAAGGAGTGTCCCTGCTGCCTGGGGCTCTGGGCGTAGATGTGAGATGGCTACAAGATGCCAACCCCACACTGCCCTGCTTCTGGGGTATTCCAGAGGGCCGCTGCTTAAGGCCTGGCTCTCTGGGCCCAGAGAAGGGCAAGGCAGTCACCTCCTCTGGTGGACAACTGTGGGAGACATTAGTAGGTGACTTTAGGGTGCTTGCTGGGGAGATGGAGAAGCTATCCAGGTCTATGCCTGAGTCCTGCAAAACAGGGTCACCCAGCACGTGGCTGTCAAGGTGCTTTGGGAGCCGAGGACCGGGCCTGAGTGGGTAAGTATAGTCCAGTAGGTCTTCGTACTCTTTATTCGGGTTCCAGAGCGGGGAGCGGCGGTCGGGGGAGGGAGGCAGGGAATCTGGCAGCACACAGGCCCAGTACTCAGCCTGGAAGGATAGACGCCTCCCGCCCAGCCCGGAAGCATCGCCCCCTGAGGACACAGGCTGGGGCGACCACTGGAGCCGAGGCCCTGGCCCCACCCCCGAGGGGGCTGAGGGCGGGACAACCAGCTCCAGGGAGGAGGAGACCTGGGCAAGGGAGCAACCCTGAGATGCCACCTTTTCCTGGTGACCCTGAAGGCTGCTGCCGAGGGACGCAGCAGAGCCGCTGCAGCTGGAGGACTGAGGAGCAAGGGCCCCCGGGTTCACGGCGGACCTTCCCCTTGACCGGAACGGCAGGCCTGAGATGCGAGACTGTGGACTGAGGTCCAGCACCTGCGGCAACTCAACTGGGGACGGGTCATCTTCCATATCAGCATCGTGTCCTGAGCTAAAAGTGGAGACTCTAGGGACAGGGCGAGTCTGAGGTAGCTCCTTAGAGGCAGGAAGCCTGGTCTCCTCCATCTGTAACGACAGGAGGGAAGGAAACGGTGAGAATAAGCCAGCCAAACTTCTGTCCTCGGTGACAACTCGGGAGTTCTCTTTGGGGGCCCAGATGATACTGAGGAAAGGAAGAGGCGACAAGGATCAGATGGAGAGTGTGTGCTGCTGGTGGCCAGCTCCGGGGAGCAGCCTGTCTTCCCCAAACCGATCCCACCCTCAGTCCTTTCAAAAGTTCTTCCTCCAAAGATGCCCAGTTTGTGGGTGAGTAGAACTCAAGCCACTCTGTTGTGCTGAAGCTGAAACATACCGCCTAACCTCTGAGAAGCAGACGGAGCCTCAATCATTCTGTCACTGACAGGAGGCACACCCAAACCCGGCAGTCAGGCAATCCACCAGGCCCCACGCTGCTCAGCTCACACCCAGTGGTGACTGAACAGTGACAAATGAGTCCTCCTCTTCAGCCTCTTCACTTCAGATTGTTAATCTGCTCGATGACGAACCAGCCCCTAAGTGGTTCAGGGCGTGCGCTTTAGAAGCAGACAGATCTGATGCCAACCCCTAACCGCCAGCTTCCAGATGTACCACTGTGAGCCTCACTTCCCTCACCTGCAAAGTAGGGGTGGTGACAGGGCCATTTCCTGGACCCTCCTTCCCCAAGTCTCCTCAGGGGACCCCTAGAGCCTCCACAGCACCAAGTCAACAACAGGACATGGCTCCTCCATCACAGCTCCCTGGCCTAGCCCTCTGGGCAGAAGTCTTGCCCATAGCATGCTGGGTCCTCAAAAGATCACCAGTCACACTCTTGAGGAACAGCAGATGCTGTGGACAGAGCCCCCTGCTGGCAACAAGGCCCAACTCTCCACCTGAACCTATAAAACAGAAGTCATCACCCAGGCTCCCCAACTACCCCACCGTGGACAGGGGGCGGGGAAGGCACGTTAGACAGTGAGACAGTGCTGGGGCACTCAGCGGATGGCATCAGGTACACCTACAGTCCCATCTGCCGTCGTACTCACCTGGCTCCCCACGGAGTGCAGGTCTCCGGTCCCCAGGCCAGCAGGAGGAAGCAGGCAACCAAAAGCAGGCTGAGACCCACCCGCTACCGGCTCCTGGCTGGCCCTGCTGGCCTGTGGCTGGGAGGCTCCAGAGGGGCCAGGGTCAGTCCCTCCACAGCAGGCAAGGGCAGGGAGCCCCTCGGTGCCTGCGACAGGGGAGGCAAGCCCTCCCTCAGCTTCCAGGCGTGGCAGCTGCTCCCTGTGCATGGGCCCCGGACTGTCCGCCTCCTGCTCCCTGCAGCTCCACCTCCCACAGGACGGGGCCTTTGTGTCTGCAGATGCCGCCACCTCTACCTTTTCTTCTCCCAGAGCCATTGGGATGTCCCTAGGCCAGGGTTCCGCTGAAGTGCTGGCTCCCTACAAAATGGGAAAGGAAGAGAAAAAAATAAATTTTGTGTCTATATCCAGGAAACCTTGCTTTTCACTTTTTAATGACTTAGACAAACATTTTTTGGCCAAATAAAAAAAAAAAAGAACAAATGATGGCCACTTCCTCAGAGAAAAAGAGAGGTCTGGCTTTTCCTCAACCCCAGACCCTTCCAAAGGGCACACAGGAGCACATCATTTTGTCCTCTGCTTTTATGTGGCTGGAGTGGCCCTGGCAGCAGGTGCCCAAGAGGGTCAATGCAGACCCAAACCAGAGTCAAGGCTTGGTCCTGCCTAAGGTCACTGTTCTGTCCCTGTCTCTTCTGCCCAGCCCCACTGGGGAAGGGACCTGGCCTGGGACCCTCCTTGTGCCAGCCCCACAGCAGCTGTTGTCACAACACCCCCAACAGCAGGCGGTTCCAGCCTGGCCCTGGCGGCTCGAGTCCAGAGAACAACAGGTCCCAGCACGCCCAGGCTGAGGCTGAGTCCAGAGCCTGCTCTGCCGGCAGAGGAGGCAGGACCCTCTCAAAGCACAGAAACCAGGCTGTGAAGCCGACAGACCCTTCTCACGCCAATGAGGGCCGGCAACCAAAGACAGAGCAGCAACTGCTGGCTTGGGTTACGATTAATCTGTACCTGAGAGAAACAGTGGAAATCCAGGTGGGAGACAGTGGTAATGGCATGAGCACCCGCACACAGACAGTGAGAGAGAGAATTACACCAGGCAGGCGGCAGGCAGGTGGGAGAGAATCGGGGTGAGCTCTCAGGGTGGAAAGAGGGAAGAGTCTCGGAGCTGGCTCTGAAAACAGAACTGTTCCAATAAGAGCTTCAGGGACACAAAGGGAGCCCCCTCGGCCTGAGTGTGCAGGCAAGGGCTCTGACGGGAGCAATGGGGATGGGCTGAATGGCAGTAGAACAGATCCAGGAGGATTTAGAGTGGGAAGCAAGGGAAGAGCAAGCGCCCAGGATTTCAGAGGCCCTGCAGTGCACTGGGCCAAGCTCAAAATCCAAACCTGGCCAGAAATAGCCTTGCTTCCTCAGAGATAAGAGGGCGGGGTGATGGCAAGAGGAGGTGCTGGGGGCACCAGGGAAACCTGAGAAGGTGGAGGAGGCAGTGGAGTGGGTGTGGGCTCCTCCCTCATGCCCCACCGCACACCCGGACCACCACCACAGACACCACCGGGGGCACTACCACAGGCAGCAAGCCACGGAAACCAGAGCGGCCTGCCCTCCCAGCCGCCCGGCCAGGCTCCAGACAGTCAGAGGTGAGCTGAGAGGAGAGCACACACATCACATGGTTCTCTCATCACCCCACGGCCACCACGTGCACAGGGACTAATCAGAATAGCTGTTGGACAGGTCGTCTGTGTTTCAAATATAAACTACCCTCAAGTGTGAGTCTCCCTCCACTCCCGACCCCGTTCCTCACCCACACAAGCTAGTGCTCACAGGGCGTGATGACAGTGCCCGGTGCACAGTGCCAGTCTCCACTAGTGCTCTAGTGTCACAGGGCGGAGGGGAGGGAAAGAATCAGGTTAACAAGTCACTTGCAAGGAACAAAGGAGTCCAACAGAGGAAGAAAAAGCAGCCAGATTTTCATATAAATCAATTAAAATATTTCCTACTAGATACTCCCACAAAAACAGTTAAATAATCTAATTTTGTGTGCATCTCATCTCTTGATGTGTAATGCAAACACAAAAATCTACTCCATCCTTCCCTCTATTTTTACAACAAAGTAGCAAACTGGACAGAACACACTGTTTAGAACTTTTTTTTTAATGAAATACTTTGGAGATCTCTCTTTAGCAATACACAGACAGCATCCTCTCTTTTTTCACCACTGCCCAGCACTGTACTCCGCTGTAAGGATGCACCTTAGTTTACTTCCCTGGTCCACTCCTAGTGGATATTTACATCACTTTCAATCTTTTGCTACTGCAAACAAGGCTGTGTGAAGAACCACGTGCACGCCCCACTGCACATGTGCCAGCACACTCACAACAGAGTCAGAAAGACAACCGCTGGGGTGAAGGGGACCCAAAAGTGTACTTCTGGCTTACGTTCCACCTCTACAGGTGGCATAGATTTCCATCCCCACCGGCAGCCTGAGAGAGTGCCTGTTTCCCAGGGGAGCCAGGTTCTCCTATCCTCACTTCACAGAAGCCACTCAGAGTCAAATCCACGTCTGTGTGACTCAGAACCCAAGTTCCTTATGAACCAACTGGGGAACAAGTTACTAGACAGGCACCCAGGGTAGAAGGTGGGGAGACTGGCAGGGGGACAGGAAGATGGTGACCAAATTCTGCTGATAAAGAGTCTCATGGAGCCACATCCTCACCTGGTGGCTCTTTAAGAAACTGCACATGAAGACACAGGCAAACTGTGTTTTCACAATTATGGGAATAAGCTGAGTCCTTGAGCTGGAAAAATTAGAGTGAAGGCTGAACCTAGCCTATGACCCCCAATTTCTGCCGCTTGCTGCATTCCTAGAAACTCTCAATGGCCAGAGTCAGGCCGTGATGGGTGGCTAACTAAAGAGTGTGGTCTGGAGACAGGGCACTGGAATAAGACCATGCTGGGGCAACAGAGGGGTACAAACAAATGATCTGTCTTGCCTGGATCTTATTATTCAAAAAAGAAGGTATCCATTCATCCCGGGGTTGGGGGGGGCAGGAAGGGGGCAGTGAGCTAGAATTATAAACTATTTAGGAGATACCTCTAGGTGACTCTTAAGTACACATACAAAACTGAACTAGGTTAACCCTGTTGCCAGAGGCCCTTCAGCAACCAGGAAAGGTCTGAAATTCAATGTTTTCAAAGAAATGGTACTTCTGAAAAGACAAATTATGGGTGGTTATTTTCTCAGTCTGGATACACAGTCCTTTCATAATCTTACTTATTAATCTGCCTAAGAAATCATGCTGTATTTTCCCTGTGCCACATAAATTTTTGATGAGAACTAAGACGTACGTGAAAGAAAAAGTCTGTGAGTGTTCATTCCAAATTCTATGTAAAGTACTACAGAACACAAAGGGAGAAATCAACCGGGATAGAGATAATCAGGAAAAATTCCTTGAAGTAATGACTGCTGAAAACAAACCATTTTTAAAACATCAATAATGTGGAAGAAAACGTCAGCCCAGCCAGTGCACAAGCTTTGGATTTCTAGGGCTTGACTCTCTGCACTTGCCAGGTGGGCATCCGTAACGATGCATGAAAGTCCAGCCCTCATTTCCAGAGTCTAGACTTTACACATCATCATTCCTTGTAATCCTCTGAGGGTGAGGAAAGAGGTGGGGATCTGCTTGGGCCCTTCCAATGAGAGACTGCTTACTCCTTTTCAAAGTGCCCAATGGGCTGCTCAGATGAAAATGACTTGCTCTGCTGTCAGTAGCTTTAAAAAACCTACTAATCTACATGGGTCCCTCCTGCTCTCCAATCACACGTGTACAGTGTGCCTGGAGGCTGGCAGCTCTGTGGGGGACAGAGGCCTCAGTCAGTCTCCTTCCTAACAGGGAAGCAACAGGAGGTTGGACTGAGTGACTGGAGGGCTCAGAGTACAGACAATGAATTCAACCCTCCCACCTGAGAAAGGTCTGCACACACCAGCTCCGCCCTGTGCTTGGCCAAACCAAGAGACAAGCCACAGAAGATTCAGGATATGCCAGGGACCACCTGAACTTTAGTATTAAAATTCTCCATTAGTTTCCAGGGCCTGCAGAGGTGTATGACCTACCAGATATAATTAGGAGTGATGCAGACTTGGCTTACTCTTGCTCTACAGTAAAAATATGCTCACATATCACGCACGGGATAACACTAACTCGGAAGCCTGGCCATCTGACCCTTCCTGGTATCTGCTGCACCACCCTCGTGCAGTCTGGTCACAGCTGCCAGGGCTTCCTCCTATCACACCAGTCCAGGATGGAGAACAGAGGACTGGGGTTTGGAGTAGCGAGTGGGGGAGGTAATGTTCCTCTTAACTAAACCATTCAAAAATATAAATGATCAACTTAGGGGGCAACCCTCTTTTGATCAAAAAAGGACTTTCCCCAGGATTCTCTAAATCAAGCTCCCTTTCAAACAATCTGATTTATATCAACCTTGCCCGGGAAGCTGGGTTCTGGGCACGGCCCGTCTCTGAACCTGAGCGCACAGACAGCAGCTGTACCAGCCACGGAGGCCAGGTGCTGCTCGACAGAGCCAGCCCTACCAGTTCAGAGGCCCAAGCCTTGACACTCCTTGCTGTTTTCGCAGGAGGCCACAGGTTTAAGTGGCAAATACCACGCACACACAGAGGCAGAACCTGGCCAGAGAACTGGACAAAGAGGTTCTCAGTGCTGCTTTTTCTTGAAGGACATGAAGCTGCCCACAAGGGAAGCAGGGCTGTGGGGTAGGACCCAGCATCGTCAGGTTGCTGGAAGGCTTCTGGGGGAACTAGACTGGTGTGAGAAATGAGTTTAAAGGCAGAAGCCAGTCCAGGGGTGGGAGGCAGCATGAAAGTGGGTAAAGACATATGTGAGGGAGGCCAACAAAAGGGGCAGTCACAAGAGGCCCAGGCCGGCCTCGGGGTGGGGCGGGTGCCAGGAACGCTGTGGCTGGAGGTTTGAGACTGGGAGGCCACTGGCTAAGGGCGCCTGCCATTCCAATTGCTCCTTCCCTGGCTGCACAGACCTGATGCCCCTCAGTCCTCTACACAGGCCATCTCTCCCTGTGGGGCAGGTCACCCTGAGTGCTCTGCCCTCCTCCTTTGCAGGTGAAGCAAAGCAAAACAAAAAGGAAGAGGTTCAGAGCTATGAAGGGGCAGAGGTGTGTCCCACGGCTTGGCAATAGGCTGATGACATCTTCAGGAACCTTGGCCCCAGCACTCCCTTTCCTTCCGCAGGGCTGCTTCCCTACCTCCTGCTTACAGTCAGAGTCCTCCAGGGCCCTAGCAGGAGCCAGTGAGACCCTCTAATCAGAGTGGTGGGAAGGCTGTCACAGGCTGC